CTGTTGCATAAAAGAGCATACCAAATAGAACCAAAAGTTCAGCCCCTTTGATTTTTTTGGTGATGCGCCTAATTAAAAATAACTAGGCTCTCCAATGCATAATTACATGAACACCTAATATACTATATTTTCAGCCAATTTTGTTTCAAACATAAATATGCACCAGAAGTATGAATGATCGACATACTACTCCCCACAGAATCTGTGCTGTTTCTGAATCAAGGCTCTTTCTTGAGCTCAGTATTTTCACTACATCTTCCTTGCTGTGCAATCATCTCCCAGTTGGACAATTAAGAAGTGCTTTTTCTCCACGGCGCCTGGCATGTAACCCCCCTTACCCTGTACTTTAGCATGCACTGTATACCTTCTTCACTCTGACTGGTTTTGGCAGTGACCCACAATCTAAATCTCTTTCCTCCATTTGATATAAGTGAAACTATAATTATCCAGGGGTAATTTCAAATTACTACTTCATTCCACTAGCAACTGATGAAGATTAGTGGTCTTGCCTTGCATCTGAGTAAGTCAGCAACATAATCACAAGAGAACTCAGCAGGCAACTTTTGATTCATGTGAACTCAATTACTTCTGTCAAACACATTCACTTCAATAAAAAGCAGAAATTTCCAACATAGGTCTTTGCTAACAATTTTGTACTCAAAAAAAATTCCCTGTGACTCTTAAGAGAAAAAATAGCATGAATTTCATCAGAAATAATAATAAATAACAAGTAGGGAAACATACTTGTATAAATGGGTTTAATACATTATTAGTTTCTGAAAATAAAGAACATTTCAAAGAAATAAATTTGTATATTTAAAGCAGTTTATTATAGAAAATTCAGGCATATAAGTAAGCCTTAGAAAAGTAAATGCACTCTATATTTTAAGCTGATACCATAGAAACCAGAGTATTTTGTTACCTCATTAAAATTGGATTATTATGGGAAAGGTAGTCAATTTCTCTTAAAAGAAGTTAAATGGGGGCCATGAAGATGAGAGATCACAAATTGCTAAATGGATAGGGACTTCAGAATCACTTCTTGGTTGTCTTCTAGGTTGAACCCATATGTTAAGCAGCTGCCTCGCATTCTGATTCCTGAAGGTTTAGTCTCTAAAAGCCCATGTGTCAACTCCATCACACCCTGCACGTATATGAGGTCACATGAGCACAGTCCCACAGCAACTACCTGGTCACCAACTATTACAGACTCAGTAAATATTAACACATGATAATCGTTACAACAGATTTACTCAAACTTCAGCTTCTTAACATAGTTCAGTCTTTAATTAAATCCCAACATGTTTTGACTGTCAAAGAAACTGAGTAATTAAATGTAAACATAGAACAAGACTATATTATAAAGACATTTCAGTATGTGATTTTGAGGTCCACAAAAATCACTAAGATGGCCTCTATAATAGTTAATGTATCATAAGCCAATCACAGGAGCTTTAATACCTGGAACTTGAAAATCTGGTCAGAGAATCTTACGACTATAATAGGATTAATTTAAAAGAAGTATTTGTCAATGTTGTGACCAAGGAGACTCTCTACAGATAAATGCGAAGGAAAAAGAAATCAATAATTTTAAAATGGAGTATTCTTTTGTGCCTTTGCCCAGTCTACTTCCTCTTTTGAATTCATTTTCCCTACCTCTTGCCCTTTGATTTCTTTCTCATTCCTTAAGATTACATACTCTATCCCTGCCATCAGGGAGTATGTAGTCTAACAGGGATAGGGAGGGTCATTATCAAGTAATAAATTAACAAATATATGCAAAATCTTAACTCTAAATGGTTTTCTGAAGGAAAGACATAGGATATATATATATATCTCCTAGGAGATGTATGAGATATATGAGAAACTGAAAGAAGGTAAGTGTGGCTGGTGCCTAGGGAAGGGCAAGAAGCAGAGTGTAAGATGTGTCTGGAGAGAAAATAGGGGCAAAACCATGCAGGAACTTAAGCTACTACAAAAACTTTATCTTAAAGGAAACCATTGAAGTGTTTAAAGTGTGTGTGTTGGGAGTAGGCGGGACAGATGAGGATGAGTGTGTGAAACAAGCAGATTTGCATTTTTGTAGAGGTGACATATTTATACAGCTCAAAAGTCAAAACTATATATAAAGTCATTTATTGTATTTGAAAATAAGGTTTCAACAAGATATGCTTAAAGATTGGAGGAAAAAGGAAATACAGCGAAGTGAATGATTTTAGGAGAGATTTGGTTGATAACGTCTATAAATATTTTGTGATGGAGTGGAACGAGGTAGTGAGTCAGAAGGAGATGTCAAGAATGATTCCTAATTTCTGGCCTATCAAGAATAGTTCCAAAACATCAAGATCTCCACTTAAAGCTTTGGGGATAGCATGTTAAGATCATATAATGAGTTAGATTTGGAGTTATGGTGGAATTTCTCTCTCTCACACACACACACACACACATACATTTACATTCACATATACATAATATGTACATGCCTCGATATAAATGCCTCGAGATTATCTATGATGCCTTAATTCTCCAAAACAAAACTTCAACGTATACTTATTCATTAAATGAGACGTTATTTATAGAATAATCATTTGAAATTCCTCGTAGAGTGGCCACATACCATTTGTACATTGGAAAACACCAAGAGGCTTTATTCATACAAACTACGTTGTATAGAACGCCCTCTGGGATATGTAGTCCACAGCCTTCGCAATGCCATAGCCTTTGTTCCTACTACCAGGTGGACTAATAAACACATTAATTATGACAGAGTCCAGTTCAGTGAAGTTTTCTACAATTTAGCCTTTCCAGTTCATCCCACTATCCCTCAGTTATGTCTCTACTTATCAATAATTGAGTATGAGAAGAGAAAGATACACATTAAATGCCTGCACTAAGAAACATTCTGTCAGAACACTACTTCCCCAAGATCTTTTCTTGATAAGCACCTGCAGAATGTTTTAATTCCAGCAACAATCAAAAATTATCTTCTAAATATGCAGAAGTTTTTTATATCCTCTGTCCATCTGGATGAAGACAAACGTCACTGTGTTCTGAACTAAAGTGACCACGTATTCCCTAAAACCATATAAACAAAAATCAAATAGAGCATGTTGATTTATAAAACTAGTAAACAAATTTTTAGAAATAACAAGAATTATATCATAAATAGTTTAGAAAAAAGAATGAAATGTATGCAATAGATTGTATTTAACTCCTGCTTCTGATTCTACACTTACATGTATCCTCACCTTACACCAAGAAGACTGCCCAGAATAAAACAGTTGAGACAATGTCAGTTAGAGCTTTCCTTTAAATCCAATAATGAATAAAATATGATTCATTTCCCTGACAAAGTTAAAATCACTTCTGAAATATAATTTTGATTTAGTAAAACTTTATATACATACATATGTGTACATATGTATGTGTGTATGTACATATATATAAGTATAAGGAGTTGTAGCTTGCATGTAAAAGCAACCATACACTTAACTGTAGATGATCTGGTAGAGATACAAAATATGGGCTGATGCTGAAAAAGGACATTTATATACAATGCAGTATGTTTCTACCAAGAAATAATTAAGCCAAGTCAGTACGATTTACAGGTAATTTCCCTAGTTTTGTTTGCCTGGCTCTATAACCAACCTACAGTCAGACCTGGACAAACTTGAGCAAGTTCGATTCATATTATATAGTGGATTTAGAAAAAAAAAAATGCACCTGAAGCTTCGAGGTGTGATTAGGGGACTTCTCAGTATTTGGTTTCCTCCTCAGTTAATACACATTAACTCTCATTACCTATTTAGCATGCGCACACCATGGTGAAAACCAGTTCAGCTTCATAAGGACGAGTGATTTTTTCTTAAGGAAAATATGTTTTGTCCTCATAAGCTGTTCTTCACTTTGACATAAAGTACTATGCTGTCTCAAAAAGCCATTGATAAGTATCCAAGTTTAAAAGGACAGCTCACCATATTATGGGCAAAATGGGGGTATTTTCAAATAAAGAAGGAAGCATGCATGATCAAGTTTCAATTTAAAAGAAAAATTAAAACAGAAAAAAATCTCCAAGTGAAAATTGCTTTGAAATGACCTTTTTGCATTGGCTCTATCTCCAAATGGTTATTTTGTTGGCACTACTTATTATTCATTTAAAATTGACCTGTAATGTTTTTTTTTTTTGAGGAAGATTAGCCCTGAGCTAACTGCTACCATTCCTCCTCTTTTTGCTGAGGAAGACTGGCCCTGAGCTAACATTTGTGACCATCTTCTTCTACTTTATATGTGGGACGCCTACCACAGCATGGCTTGCCAAGTGGTGCCATGTCCACACCCGGGATCCGAACTGGCGAACCCTGGGCCACAGAGCAGAACATGTGCTATTAACCACTGGGCCACCAGGCCAGCCCCTGACCTGTAAATTTTTAAAACCAAGCATGTAACAGCAATTATATGTAAACAACACAGTAAACTAAGTCAGGACAGCTTACAGATATTTTCCTATGGAGTTCATATGGCTGAACTTATTACTGAAGAATTTTTAAAAGCAGTTAAAAGCCTAGAAAACAAGTCTCATCTAAGATTTGCATTTGAATTTTATACAGCAAATAGAGTACTATTTTCTCTTCATGGAAAGAAAACAGCAATAGGGTAGCAGACAATAATCACACAGAGAAAGTTACAGACAAAGAAATAATCCTTTGGTTTGAGTTGTTCAAAAATAAAACTTCTGAAAGCAAAATGAATATGAAATATTACACCTCAAGTTAGACGGTCTCTGAGTATTAATTATGTATATCCAATAAAATATTACATTAAATCTTTCATCATTGCCAGAAATTTTAAAATTCTGAGAAGAGAGAAATCACAGGTGAAGAGAAATAATCTCCATAAATTAGCAAAGTAAAAGGTCATGTGCTCCTCATCTTTGGAAGAAATACATATACATGACCCAACAGAAGGAGACAGGCCCTGCAGATCCACACGCAAACCCTTACCTTGACAGGTGCCATTTTTCTCTTCATATCCTGCCTTGCACATGCATTTCCCGATGGGCACCAGCCACTCCCCTTCAGCGCTGCAGTGCATTTTGGGTGGTTCATCTGTCACAGAATGATTGACACAGGAGCCCGACACTTCCAGCAACTGCGAAGAATCAGCTCCAGTGATAGTGTCAGGGAAGACAGCCAAGTGTCGTACCACAGAAGGGCATTTTTTATAGTACACGCGCACAGAAACCAGAGCAATGCAAGCACCCACATCTTGAAAAGCAAGATAAAATCCCTTTTTGCTTAGAGGTCCCACATCTCTGACCTCCGTATTCAGTTTCATGACGCGGTCACCAAGATCAAGTTCTGTAAAACTTTCATCGGCAGCAATGGTATCAATTTTGATGTACTGGTTTTCCTTGATGTTTCTCCCATTCTCATCATCTGATTCAAAGTAATACATGTTAAAAGTCTCCTTACAGGTCCCCAGGCCTCCAGGAAGGCTGTTGCAGTCCCGCAGAGTAAACTTGAGTTCTATGAAGATTCTGGAAGCACCTTCATTGGAGATCCAACTGGTCAAAAGCCAGTTATTCTGATTCTGTTCCATAACTTTGCATACTTGGTATGTGTGGATAGGGGCATAATTTTCATCAACTTCACCAATCTCTTCCCACTGTGTAATATAAAATAGAAAGACAAAAATTTCCAAAAAATTAGAAAATAACCAGTAAAAATAGTCAAAGGAAACTAATTCAGCTGTGGAAATTTCCTTAGCCTCAATGTATACCATTGGGAGAAGGAGCTATATAGCAACAATTAAAAAATATATATAGTTCCCTTTTTAAATTAAATAAATTAATAACATTATTCATTGTCTGCAACATAACACAAAGGTGAACACATACGAACGATATTCCCCAGAAAAAAGAATGTATTTCAAAGTAAAAATAAAAAAAAATTGAACATGGATGCAATTAACAAGAAAGAACAGTGAAAGGAAAGAATATTTGTATGCATGTGTGGACAAAAGTTAAATATATAAACTAACAGAGTAGATAAAGTTTAAGAGAAAAAAGGAAGTACGATTTTTTTTTAAAGACAACAACAGGAAAAAAAAGCAGTAAATGTGGACAGGAAAACAGAAAAATGTAACATGTGAAGCCACATTTATTTAATTCCGGCATGTTACAAATAATACATCAATGTAATAAAACTTGAAAGAAAATTCATTAGTTTAAAATTAATAATAAATGCTTGTTTTATTGAACCAATTTGTTTAGGACTCTTTTACAAACTGGATAACTAAATGTTTATTCACAGATTTATGTAAAATTATAAACCTAGAGACAGGTGTAAAATAGAGATAAAAATTATAGATTAGTAATATGGACAGGCTTGTCATTTCAAATACTAACCAACTCTTGTTATATCCTGAAAATGCATTACTTCTTTCTTACCAATGCATTATTTTATGCATAATGACCTTAAGAGTTCTGAATATATACAGGGTATAGAAAAGATTAAGTATCATTTATATAGATTCCAAAATAATATTTGATCAAAGAGATCTAAACCCATCTCTTTCCTATTAAAATACTACAGTTTTAAGAACTATAACCACTTTCTGAACAGTACAGAACCAAACTTTTATTCTTCATAAAGATGTTCCTATAACTTAAGAAATTTCTTAAACCTATATAAAATCTATGTGTACAAAACTATATCTAACTTTGTTTTAAATCTTTAAAAATGGCCCTGAAACACACAAAGCAATGAAATCATCCTGACTTTCAATAAATCCAGAATATGATTTCAGACACTAGGCATTATAGATTATAAACTTCATAGAACATCATTTCTTTAGACATGAAATTAAATAGAGCTTTATTTCTTGAGTGTGTTCAGCTGACAAAGATGTGAAAAATGTGGAGTCACAAGAGATGCACATAAATTGTATGTCTTAGATGGCTCCTCTCTAGCTGCCATCAGACTGACTAAGTAAAAGGTACTAATGAAGGAAAACCGCTGAGCCTCTTAAATTCACAAGAGAGAGACATCGAGATTTTATCTTGCCTAACAACTTTCACACTAGGGTGTTATGTGAAGCCTTAGTTCTCCCATTTAATCTCACTTTTGTTCTCTCTCAAAACGTATATAAACTCTACTTAGCCTCTGGTTTTCTCAACCAGCTATCTATTTCAGCACTCTGTCATTAAACCACTTACATTTTCTTCCTGAAGTGATCCAGGTATCAATATCTTTGTTATAAATGGCTATTGAATGTCACCATTAACATTACATGCAAAAGATCACTTCAAATAACTAAATGAAAACAATAAAAATTATCAACTTAGTGTTATAAAATTAATTAAATATATATTCCTTGAATGAGTAAAATGAAAATTGGCATCATAAAACTCTTCTATGAAAAAAGAAAATCAAAATGCTACATTACATATTTCAGATTTCTTTTACTTGATAATAGTCTTCCAACACAAAACACAAATGGATTTCAAATCCTTGGCCTTAAATCATTTATAGAAGACTTATTTCTGCAGCATGTGTTTTAACAGAACCCTGCAAGCACGTAAAAGGAATTGGACAAGTAAAGGGAAATGAAATAGTAGCATCTTCCAGATTATAAGACAAGCATTTCACAGTCTTTGTCTATACGGAGTCCAAGGTACCACAAATATTATTAAAAATTCAAGCCAAGCAGCACTTGACAAGACAGCTTAATAGTTACTGCTTCAGGTGATAATTTCAATGTATGTGCATAAGCATCTTACTTCTCTGAATATTCTCAATTAAGAAGAGAAAAACTGTAATTTTCTTTGATGTTAGAATATACCATGGTGGGATTTTATTTATTTTTCTTTTCAAATGTCCAAAATATAAATGAAGGCTCACATTTTCTATTTCTGAGGAATGAGGAGAAAGACTTTAATTTAAATAATTATGGCCATAAGCCATTCAGATAATCAAATAGGTAATATACACATATTTCCCCAAAATATCCGCTCCTAACTAGACAAATATGCTAAGAACCAAACAAAATATTTCATTTATTTTAGATTGGCTAGTTGAAATAAAACCTCGAATTCTTCCAAGTTTTCTTTCCTTTTAATACAAAGTGGACATCTTGCTGTCCTCAGCAAAAATCGTACCTATGAAGAAGAAACCAGATATTGAAGAGATATAACACTCATCAAGAACTTAAGAATGTGGCGGGTATATTCCTAGATATTTTTGCAAATGTCATGTCATGCCAAGGAGATTACAGCAATTCAATGAAGGGTGCAGATAGAAAACACAGTATTTTCGGTTCAATTTGGTTGGATTTCCTGTGATCCCGTGGTTTAATAAAAGTATCTGAAGATCTTTTGATTACTATAAACAGTATGACTGGGCATTTGCAAGTGTGGTCACTGAACACAATATGGTGACTGTAGCTCTGTCCTTCAGGCCTAGCAACTCCTCAAGGCCCACCCTCCAAGCTCATGCTGTTCTCTGTGTTTCTTTCCTCCTTATTCCTATTCCTTTGCTTTAAGATTAAAGAACTGGTTTTACACAGTCAGCTTGGGCTGGCTTTATTTCTTTCCCAGATGCTTGGGCTTGCTCCTTTTCCTGCTGGGCACTGAAGACTCCAAGTCAGCTGCATTCTAATCCCACACCTGGCCAGGCATCACAAGTCAGCCACGTTCATCACAGCAGTGAAAAAGAAAACTGATGGATTTTCATATCCGTATGTGCATCATGGTGTTACCAACTTTCCCTTCCCAAGCCATTAAGAATTATTTTCTCCCTGCCTGCTTGCCCATGGCCCTATTCAGTTTCCTGCCTCCAGCTCCTATTGTCTCTTACCTTGTTGGCATTGCACTCATTCCAGTCTCCTACCCTATAGATCACTTCTTTTGCCTTCAGAACTTAAAAATATCATATCATGACATGCAGCCCAGTTAGAACCTCCCTTACATTATGACCCAAAATACACAGTAGGTATCATCATGTGAACAGAGTTGATCTTGACCTTTCATGGTAGCAGGGGTTGCCTACTGTCTAGTTCTGTTTTCATTATTGTGTTCCTATGTATCTTGTTTCTACAGAGAGACTAACTTATTGAGGTTAAAGTACAGTAGTTAGAAACCTTGTAGTAGAAGCCTGAATGGAAATACTTGATTTATCTTGTACGGAGGAAGGATTATCAGTTTGAAGCCCCGGTTTTAGTCCCAGCTTTTACAATATCTAGATATATAAACGGAGACCCAACCACTGGCACACTGGCTACATAATTTAGAGGGAGAACTGAAATGCTCTATCCCAGTCGTCTAATGTCCAATATAAAACATCAGAAGGGGCCTTAAAAGATCTGATCCTACTGTTCATTTTAGAAATGAGGAAATTGAAGACGAGACAGAAGAAAAGATCTTCTCAAGCTCACAGAGGACCACTCTGACCATCTGATCACCCTCTCTGCCTGTGTCCACCCGTCCTCTTTCAGCACATCTCTGTCCTTGATGTGTGTGTGGGACTTCTTGATTCACTGCATTGATTGCTGCTCCACTCTGTTGAAACTAGATTCACATTGTTTTCAGACATAACATAACCATAAACAATTTTTCCTTTTGTCCTTCCTTTCCTCCCTTCTATTTTCCTTTCTTTCCTTCCTTCCTTCTTTCTTCTATATATCTTAATACTCTGAAATACAGATGTGAAGGAAGAGACATGAGTCTCTTATTCTCTACTGTATCTCAGAGTCTGACACCACAGGACATAGAGTGGGCACTTGATATCTTACAATGAATGAATTAATATCAAACATATACACATCCCTCCTTAGTCTAGAGATCCAATAATCTGAAATAATTCAAACATGGTAAATAAATGATTGTATGATTTGTCTATTGTTTTCATTTGAACAAAAATAAATCTCATTCCCTGTAAGTCGTCTGCATTTTATAAATTCAAATAAGAAGGAATTCATAAATTCGTATTTTTGGAAAATTAGGCTTCAGTAAAAAGCTCTAAGCATTTATTTCAAGACATTTTCTTATTCCAGTAATTCATACGATTATTTTGTTTAGTTTTGCATATTAGCCTGTAGAACTATTTTTCATTGGCATTAAATTTTTCCAATTATAACCTACAGCTTAGTTTACATAGGTAACTTTTGAGCATGACATGTTTCAAAATATTTAGTTTTTCATTTTCAGTCACTAACCTTCTTCACCATACTGTACAGAATAAAAGCCCAGGATATAGCATATCACTTAGTGGCATTATATCTTATTTCATATTTCAGTCAAAGTTATTAGGACTATTGTAGTGATTTTCTTTTGCAGAGTGATGTAAAAACATAGCTAGAAATCTGACATGCCCAAACCATAAGTTTGTAACAAGACCTTGTTTACCGCTTACACACTTCCTTGAATATAGAGCGAACTGCTCATTACCCTTTAACATCCCAGTATTTTGCATAGAATGCTTTTTTTTTTTTCTGAGAAAGATTAGGCCTGATCTAACATCTGTTGCCAATCTTCCTCTTTTTATTTTTTGGCTTGAGGAAGATTAGCTCTGAGCTAACATCCATGCCAATTTCCCTTCACTCTATATGTGGGTCACCACAACAGCATGGCTAATGAGTAGTGTAGGTCCATGCTTGGGATCCAAACT